GCTCTCCCGCCGTTCGCTGTGCCGTGCCGATCCACACGCTGCGAGCCTTGGAGAGGAGCGGGCGCTGGGACACGCGGTGTGACAGCCAGGTCACCCGCAGGTGGTGCCAGAGCTTCAGGCTCARTTGGGATGGTGTTGGGGCTGCTCCTGGTGTGCTCGCTCCTGTTCGYCCTGCAGGATGGAGGGAAGAGGGATGTGTGCCTTTACACTCTGCAGTCGTTGTCATTTACACCGGCCACGGTTTTCTCCCAGCAGCGAGCAGCTCCAGCCGTGCCCTGGGAGGCTCAGCAGTGCGGGGTCAGGGTTCCGCTGCTCGCTCTGGTGATGCGGCAAACCTTCACAACGCTGTAAATGAGCTCACTGCTGTTTCGACAGCGAAAACTTGAATTTCTGGGTTTAGAAACTCGATCCCAAATGCCAGGAAGAACACAGTCCTTAAAGAGCAAACCCAGCTCCCCATCAACTCTTGGATATGAGAYGCAAAGCAACGAGCTTATGAAATAAATAATCTGAAACTCTTCCTATCACTACACGAATTCCACCCTGACTTAGAGCAGGAATCCTTGGTGGCTCAAAACAGAAAAAGTGGCATTTGAATCTACAAATAAACGAGCTTTGTTTAACAGGAGGGAAATGCAAATAGGGTATTCCATTATCAATGGCAAGGAGACAACAAGTAAATCAATATTTGGAGTGCTGTTGCTGTGAATGTCGCACAGCACAGCAGCATTCCTGRKCTGACTGGTTGAACTTTACCCACCMGTTAYATTGTTTTAATGAACGGATATTCAAACGGCCCTGTTTGCAGGGATATCCAGTAAAAGTGTTCCACTTTCTAGACAGCAGCCTGCTGTACACCGGCCATCAGCACTCTCAACTCCTGCATGCAAAATTTTACAGGTCTGATTCCAAAAGCCAAGTCAGGAGTTGAGGTGGAATGTCAGAAATCCATGAAACTTTTTGCCTTATTTTCTCACTCCGTGGGCAAAAAACCCCATTAAATTATTTTCAAATCCCACAAAACTTTTATTGATGCTGTGTGCAGCCCCACAACAGCGAAAGGGCTTGAAGTCCATCATTCTCATCATTGAGCTATGCCCCAGCCTGAAATCTGTCTGTAATAAATTCCCTATAAAAAGAGCCAAAGAAATTAAATTTTGTTTATTTCACCAAACAACGATCCAATCTTGGAAATATTTTAATAAGAAAATTACTCTGTGATCTTAAATTATGCCCATTTTCAGATCTTTTAAGGAAAAATTTTATATGGTTTGGAAAGAAGCCCAGGAACTATTCCAAACACACACTCAAACCAAAAATTAATAGAGAGAAAAGCTGGGTGATGCAAGACTTTCTCTCATGAAAATAGCAATCACATGGAGGTGGACTAAYATTTCATAAAAATATTATTGAAAAATACTGCGGATATCTGCATGTCTTTTTTACAATCTGCATCTCAATTTTACAAAAACTATTGTGAATACTTCCCTGGAASAAAAGCAGACTAATAAATCCCTGGAACTACTCACCATTATTGTCCCTGGAAATTATATCTTAATTTTAAATTAGGAATATTAAATTACAGATTTATATATTTCCAAATGTTCTGACATTTTGGAAATAYATAATAATTTTAWATATTTCCAAAWGTTCTGACTATTTACAAGTTTCCAAGATGAAACATTTGTAAGAATTGAAATGTAAATTAATTTTGTTTTTGTCCTAATGCACTTGTAAAGGCCTGACTAATGAACCCGAAATAGAAAAATTGTTTTTCAGTTACAATAAACAGCAATGAAAATAATTAATATTTCTGTCTTGTCTACAAGAGAGTGCCCAGAGTGTCTGCAATTTCAGTGTACTACAAATTTAATTGTACCTTTAAAGAAAAGTGGAGGTAAAAATAGACATCATTATATACGGTCTCCGCAGGTCTCCATGACCTCTCTCCTTCTTCCACAGGGATGAAAAGCTGCATTTTATTTGGGAGAAAGAACTGTTCATTAATGTCTGAGATGAAAGACAGTGAGAACAGAATAGGTATCTTTCCTACACTCAGTAATTGGGAATTCTACCTCCTACTAGATTACTTTTTAATTGAACCTCTGAGATAATGGTGCCATTTAGGTTGTGAAAGCATATTAATAAGTACACCACAGCATAAACTATTCATAAAAATACTACAGACTGGGGAGCCATAAAAAGAGATAGAATGGAATAACCTAATTAGGAAGTTTATCATGTCAACCTAGACAACTTAATAGGAGATGTTTTGTACAGACAGATAATAGTCCTAAATGTCAGTGATTGTGATACAGTGATGGTGTGTGGTGGACACAAAGATTTTTACTTTTTTTTTTTAAAAAAAAGAGAAAGCATTTAATTATTTTTACTTTGTGTCTCTGGTTATTTGCACAACTAAAAATCCTTTTTGAAGTTCAGTTCTGGAGATGAGGGAAACAACAGRCAGCTGTTGTTTCAGCAGAAACAGCAATCATAAAAGGATTAAAATGTCAGTGAGAAGTGATCTGCAGTAATTAATACAAAATCACAACAGAGTAGTTTCACTGCTTTGTAGCAAGGCTGAGCTCTGAAGGAAGCTGTGGCCCATGATAGGGCTATAAAGCTCCTCTTGCTTTTTTTTCCCTGTTAATTTATGCAGGGTGAGTTCTGACTGGAGCATTTGATTTTGCCTGCAATTATTAGTGACAACTGCCCAGTCGAGATAAAGTTACAGAGCATCTGAATTTGGCCAGGAAATACCAGGCAGGGAAACAGAGCCTGAAGGATGTAAATGGTCACCTACAGTTTATCCCAAGAAAGGGGCTGTGCCCCTACAGACTGCAGGAACAAAGRAAGGGATAGTAATTGCAGGATTCTCCTCATGGCACAGCATCAGTCCTTCTAAGGCTGAGTGCTAAGGCAGTGAGAGAGCAGACACAAATCAGTAAATAAAAGTGCACCAATGATTCACAGATTTTTATATTAAATGATGGGCTCCAGGCTCAATAATAAGCTTGGGAGTAGGATTTTGAACATTAGAGATATAAATATCAGCTTAATGCTTAGCACAACAGAACAGTAATTGAAAATTATTAGGGAGGGGACAAAAAACAAAGCAGAGACTCTGGTTCCACAGCCTCTCACATCCACTTTTTGGATGCTCCAGGTTTGGTCAGTCATCCTTCTTCCATCTGTCCATCCCATACCTCCACCCACCTTCCCCCAAGACAGATTTGGAAAAAGTTCAAAGAAAGAAGATCAAACAYAGGGAATAGTTTCCATCTGTGGAGCAGTTAGATATACTAGGCCTGTGAGCTGGGAGAAAGGTGTCTGAGGGAGGAATAACAGTGTGTAAAATGATRAATGGTGGGATATTGCTCCCTCTTTCTTTCAGCACAAGAGGTAGGGAACCTTGGATGAAGGTAGCAGGAGGCAAGTTCACAGCCAATAACATGTTTTTTTTTCAGCACATGAGCTTGTAGGGAAGACCCAGAGCTCTCAGCCACTGCAGGAGTTTTACATTCCAGCCATGCATCCCCATCCACATCCTCCCCTCCCCTCCCCAGCCGCTCTTGCCTTTCTAATAGCTCAGCTCTAAACTTCCCTTTTAACTGAGATCTATCCCATTTGGCATTTGCCCTTGCAATTGGAGCACAACATTAGAGAAGGCAGCCAGAAATGGCTTTCTTTGCTTGCATGGAGAAGAGCTCATTGAACACACACCCTTCTCCCCTGTTCACCTGCACCGTGTCCCATTTTCCTGCCTTTGAAGTCCATCCTTTTCAGGCTTTAAAGAGCTTTGTGATAAAAGGATAAATGAATCCTGTTCCTGTTCTATTATCAGCACTGCCTAAAAGCYAGAAGGGTGAGGAAAATTTGCCAAAACCTGAGAAGAGATGGAATAAGAGAGAAGGGGATGGAGGAGCTGGTTAGCTCAAAGGACCACAGCTGTGGAGAGCACCTGCAGCAAGCAAAGCCCAATTGCTTGGTTCCAGAACCTTCCAGCATTATTGTCCAGTTGCAGCAGTGATCCATCAGTTGACAGAGATTGCAGGGGCACTGCATCACCTAGAAAAAAAAGGGGTATGAGATGAGGGGGATGCATCAGCAGGAATAAACAACAGAAATCCAAAGCAACTTGCTGCTTTTCTGTGCTGTGCTCAGCAAGACTTGCTTCTTCTTTCAGAGTTTTCCACAAGCCCTGGCAGGATCAAGGCCTTTCTCTATCAGATGCTGTGTTCTCACATCTGAGAGAGTTTCTGACTCAAGAGACTACCTTAGGAAGAGCTGACGAAGAAAAAACAGGTCTTATTTCTAAAGCTGTCAGCAGGATAACAAGCTTGTCTTGCTAGTTTCAATTTTCTACACATAGATTAATTATACTGCAAATGATTTTTGATATGTTGTATAGAAATAGTAAAAGATKCATCATCTTTTTTTCTATTTTTTAGTAAAAATAAGTTTCTTCCTGTCAGTGCACAAACCCGAGTGAAAGAAATCACTCAGGTGCAGGTGTACATCAAACAAATATTCATTATCACAATTATCAAATAATTGTCMAAATGTTAATTCTCAAAACAGTATCTCCCTCCTTGGCATCTACACAGCAGTTGTAGCTGAAAAACCACCAACAAACACGTTCACTTTTTTTTTCTTTATACCAGTTTTGTCAAGGCACTGCCTAATGTAAAGAACTAGTGCTCTGTGATGAAGCAGAGCTAATTAGGCAGTAGATTTTATCAAAGAAGAGAAGGCTTTTCATATTGCAGCAGAGGGAAGGACCTGACCTACTTTGTGTATAACCTGGTGCTTTCATTTTAGGTGTTTTCACAGTTTTCCTAAATTTCTCATATAGCCAGTGTAGAAAGGCTTTTTATTTTCATACTGCTTAATTTAATTGCTTTAACTCAGGTTTCAGCATCTCCTTCTCAAAGTCATTCCTCACAGCCTTTTAGACAGAAATTAATACCTTTAAACTCACTCAGTTCCCAAATCTTAAAATCTCTATTCAGAAACAGTTTAATATGAAGAAAGAACGGGAAATGATGGCTTCTCCATCTCTCATTCTCTTCAGCTCCAGACTGGCTCCCTTTCTGGGAGATAAGCTTGAATGAAAACTCGTTATCTGCAGGATTCAGCGCAGAGATAACAAGGTGAAGCRTAATGGATTGTCAAAATGCACTGCTGCAATGTGATCCTGCTTCTGGTGTCAGGAGAAACGTGGGTCAGGAAGAGAAAGGTGCCCGTTCTGGGGCTGGGACTGGGACTCAGCTCCAGGGATTTRCCACAGCTCTTTGCAGATCCTGGCAGGGCAAGGCCCAGCACTCTCCTCTCCTTCTCTTTGTACCCTGACTTTTATGTGGAAAAAAGTGCACGTGCAGGGCAGGAAAGAGCTGGGAAATATTCCTGCCACATCCTAGTGAGGCCTAAAAACTGCACACTACATTGCAGCACAAACTTGTAGAACCCAGGAAGTGCTGCAGCCCCAGTATTTCATTTTAATCCAGATAAGGATTCAATTTAAAGAGCTCACTTCTTCACAGATACTTCAACACTTGGAATGCACTGCTGGAATGCAACCCTGTTATCTGTTTGTGATCATCTGAAGACACCTGAATTAGTGGTGTTTTATTRTTATCATTATGGATCAGCCACCAGATGGTTTCAATGAAAACACTTCAGATGATGAATAGCACAGAATTCTTCACAAAACTTTAAAGGTTTGCTTTTCTGAATTTGCACTGTGGAAGCACTCCCTTGGGATGTGTGTTTTCGGTGCTGATTCTCTTCTCCAGTTTACAAGACACCAGATCTCCAAGCTGCTTTCTGAAGAATCACATCTACCTTTGAAGTGTGGACACTTCTGCCAGCACACAAGGGCACTCCCACCGCTTTCTCTTTCTACAAACAGAAATTCACTGGAAAATTAATGTAAGGYTTTCCATATGGAGCTAAAAGGGAAMTTYGGGGGCTTTAGTGGAACAAATGGAAATATTTTTTCCTTCCTTCAGCCCTAATTAAAATTAATCTCACTTTGGTTCCAACTAACCCCACTGACTGTAAGAAAATGAGTAGTTCAAAGCAGCAGCTCACTGAGCTGAGATGCTGCTGCACATATGGTCTGTGTGATCACGAACTGTTCCTGGGAAGAGCCCAGATGGGTGACAGCAACCACACAACACAGACAGCCATGCTTTTGCCTCATTTGTTATTGTCATTAACTTGTTTCTCAGTTTCACTCTACTTTTAAACGTGAGATATTTGTCTCTTGCCTACTTTCACCTTAGGCACAGTCTCCTCAGCTCCACTGCAATTCCTCAGCACTTTCCTGCAGCCCCTCTTTGGATGACACAAATTTTACTGTCCCAGAGAAGCCTGGCTAAGAACTGTGCATCTTTAACAGACCTCTCCAAATAGATCCCATCCTCACTGCACAGTGGCATTAATAACCTCTGTCACACCACACAGTTCTTTGGGAAACTGCACTATCTGCCAGAAAAACTTTACTTCAACTTACTTCCTACGTGATCATTAAGAGTATTTCACAAAAAATACATAAGACATGAAACATTCTTCCTGTTTTGTTGTTTGTATGTTTGGTAGGATCTGTGGCTGCTGCTCATWAGGTGTGAAATATTCCCTTTCATCCCTTCCAAATTCTATTAAAATCTAGCACTTAAGTTACTGTTCCCCTGAGCTTAACCCATTTTAATAAGTTTTAGATGCTTATTTGGTTTCTATAAKTTATCATCCACCTCCTAAATCTCTTTCCTTCCTTTAGCATACCCTTTGGAAGACACATAAGCAGACTAATTAAGATAAATAATTATCAGTGATGCAAATATAACAGTTTAAAGGCATTAAATGGGAATTACTGGGCTTCTGAAATGCAAAGTACATGCTCATACTGATTCACTTGCTGGAGAAGATGGGATATAGGTAAGAAACTGAGGGGGTTTTGCTTTGTTAGCAATCCTTTTTATACCTGCAGTTTTTATGCTGGTGTCAGGCAGAAATTAAACATGGCATCTGTAGCAGGTTTATTCATGAAACATGGCAATTCAGTCTATTGCAAGCCAGGACAATTTTGTACCTTAAAAATACCAGAAGCTTCTCATATTTTTTTGTATTTGGGTATCTGAGCACGTCATAGAGGTTTCACATCGCATTGACTGGAGAGACTGAATCAGAAATTCCAGCACTTTTCCAGAGCTCCCCTTCCTTTCACAAAGGCATTTTAAGATGAAAKAGCAGCTTTGGCCACATGTTCTGACAGTGTGCATTTCATTCCTTTCTGTCGTCAAGTCTGTATCTTTATTATGCTGACTGTAAAAAGGGATAAAAAATAGAACTATGCTAAATCTTAGTTTATATAACACTAATTTAATAGGGAGCTATTAAAGCAMAGCTAAAATAGAAACGTGCCCTTTAGCCCAAAACTTAATTTCAGCTGAACTCGTGTTCTTTCCAATGTAACAGGAGGTCCATGCTAATTCTGTAAAAATGAACTTTTTAAGTTACACTTACTTATTAGTAGCATTTTCATTAGGACTGACAAAAAAAAAAAAAAGAAAAAAGAAAAAAAAGGAAAAGCTTAAGCTTAAATCTTTAAGCAAAAAATTTCCCACAGATGTATTACTGCAATTAATTAAACTGGCCTTGGAAAATTTTCATTCTTTAAAAGCATTTTCTTATTGGGATAGTCATAACTCTTTGTGGGTTTTTTCCCTTATTTTGGTTGTTTCAAATGTGCTACTTTTGAGAAACACAGTCATTTCATTTTACTGAAACCTGAGGTACGCAGTTTTTTGGGAGAGAWTTTACAAGGCAATAGGTGCTGCAGTTAGTGTTAAACTAAGTGTATGTAACACACGTGATCCCATGATCAGTGTGACAGTTGGACACAAAGATCCCAYCTCCACAGGTGGGCAGTGCAATCCCAGCCTGCAAAGAACAAATTTATTGCACACAGAAGGTAAATATTTGTTGTACCGAGTCTCCAAGTTGCTCGTCTATTATTTTTTCCACRGTCTCATTAAAACTGGATTATGTCTTAATATTGCTTTATTGAWGGAACTTTGCCTGCAYAACAACACAGCGAGACTGTTACTGRAGACTCTGAAACACTTGGACATAGATGAAATGACCCTGAATTCTGGTGGGGACAGAACAAGGGAAGGAATAGATGACCACAGAAACCTGGCAAGGATCAAAGTGGGACTGAAAAGTCAAAAAGGGACCAAGGAAGCCTGGAAGAAGCAGCCCTAGAAATGCATCTTCTTACCAAATGTTACTGCACCAAGTTAAGAATTATTTGCAAGAAAATAAGCACTGGCAAAGAGCTCTGTTTCCCCAGAAAAGATCTCCAGTTCTCTGTTTCCCCAGAAAAGATCTCCAGTTCTCTGTTTCCCCAGAAAAGATCTCCAGTTCTCTGAATGCCTCAAGGGTCACTTGAAACTGAGGAAAAACCTGCTGTGGTGACCAGCTCTGTGCACTTTATCACTAGCTGTAGGAATTTCCCATAATTATGCTCTGCAAATAAATTACCATCAATATAACAAACACAACCAGACATGAAACGTGAACAGAGAGGCAKCTGGGATCTTTGAAGAGACAGAAAATGTAATGTGATTAGAGTTGCTCAGAAGACAGCCATGAAAGAACTTCCTGTTTGAGAGGGTTTTGCCTGCATGTCCTACCAAGAATAATAGCAAACAATAATTGACATTTCTGCAGGGCCTTTGGCCCAAGGACCTTAGAGAACAGAAGTGGAATTCCTTCCTAGTTACCCAAGTTTTTGTTATGTTTTATGATCAGGGACTCGAGGCCAGTGCTCCAACTTGAAGCTGTGTCWCTTGGTAGGGTGGGAGGGTGTTGATATTCATGTCACCCATGGGAAATGTTGGGAAGGCTGTGCCTGACAGACAGGATGCCCATGGTCACTCACCCATGATGATATAACCCAAATCCCTTGGGGTTGGCACAGGGAGACCTGCTCACCTCATGTGCTTTTCATACAAGAGTTAAAGGCCCTGAGAATAAAACCCAGCTCCAGCTCCTACTTCATC